TATTTTGATTTACTTTGTTCTTGATATTGTAAAGTACAAATAACTAGTAGGATCATGTTCAGTGGGTATGTGTGAGTCTATAGCCTATGCAATCCAAGATGTGCCTAGGCATGGCACTGCTAAAGTATCATCTATTCCAACAGGGGTTTGTGGATTACTTATACCATGATTGATTGAAAAATTGTGTTGAGATGCTAAACAAGTAATTTTTTTACTTGGCCTTAATGAAATACTGAATAATATGAACTACAAAAAAAACTGGAAAGCAACAGGAGGATAGATAACAAAACATGTGGAATGCTAACTATGTTTACACCTTTTGAATTGAAGGGAAATGTGTGTATTAAGAGAGGTGAGAAGTTAATTTCCTCCCACAACAGGTGCATCAGATAATTTGAATAAGTTTTGCCCATGACTGAGACACATGGAGCATAGATGTAGATTGTGTTGTGAAAGACAGGAAAGTGATCTTCGTGAAATGGCTGAACAAATGCTAGGCTATGTACTGTATGTGGGTATGTACATGAATACTGTTTGAATGTATGTGTGTGCTCCATGTCACTTAAGGTAGTAGAAAGATGTAGATTAGATAACAATGCTTAATAACAGCTAAATTGTGGGCCTCCATGATGATGATAATGATCCCAATGAGGATGACAACAACAGCAAAGATTGTAGAAAGCTGATGATAATAGTGAATATGGATGATGTTTGTGATAGTGACTGATAAGAGGGGCTTTGATGATTAAATAAAGGTGAGTTAGCTGGCAAAAAAACCCAAAAAAAAATAACATGATGCTGACGATCATTTGGAAAATGATGGGAATAATGATATAATATTTATGATGCTGGTCATAGAGATGATGGTGATGACAATGACAATGGTGGTGGTAATGATAATGAGGATGATTGCTGATGACTAAGATAATGATAACAATGGTGACAGTGAAAAGGACACAGATATAAATTAAGACAATACAATTAATGATGAAATTTATGATGATAACCATAATGTTAATGATGTTAAAAATAATGATAAAGATCTTGATGCTAATACTTTAATAGTAAAACAAATGCTTGTATACAATTACCAGGGGCAACAATATGAAGCACTGAATGACTAAATACAATTAGTGTAATGACAATGGTTTCACTATAGATATCCTGCATAGTTCATGTCAGTGCTGGATGGTGACAAGCATTTCTGTCAGACACTCTAGATGCCATTTGCATTAACTCACAAATATCTAGACCAAATGCATAAAAAACCACTTAAAAATAACATTCACTTTTTGACTTTGACCCTGTACGGTTGTCTCATAATAAAATAATTAACCTTTGCCCTCATTAATATCTACCACAGTAAAGATTGGGGCCGCCTCTGGCATGCAACACTTGAGCGTGTTTGGAGAGCAATTCGCCAGGATCAACACAAACGGCCGCAAAAATCCCTCAACGAGGACATGGGCACGAACTAGCAACAATCAAAGGGATGACGCTTTGTGAAGCACCTGTTGTCTAAATGCCAATGTCACAAACCAACCTTGGCCAACATAAAAACAACACATAAAATCAAATCAGTAGAAAATCACAAAATTTAAATTAAATCAATAACAACAAAAATACCAAGTGTATGTAATTTAAAATACTTCACAACAAAATTAAAAGATTTTTAAAAATTGGCCAATTAAAAAATAAGAACAAAAAAATAAAATAAATTGAACCTACTTAATTAAAATCACTACACAATGCATACATTTTTTCATTTTGTAAAAATTATTGTAAGTATTTAGTTTTTAATTAAATTTGTTCATTTCATTTCATTTCTTGTGAAAATTCCCATCATATTTAATCCCCTCTAATCTCCTTTATTATTATAAATTAAGCCTAAGTCTGGCACTAACACAAGTGTAACCACATTTTGTTTTTGAAAGATAAGTTCATTATCGTTGACTTCCAACAGATGTAAAAATACACATGATTTTGTTTTCGTCTGGTCTCACAGACTAAAAAATAACAATTTACCTGTATTTTTTGTGAATAAAAAAAATGAAGTAATAATTTGTTTTAGTTGACAGGAAAATTCCAAAATTTGCCAAAATCTGATCAGAGGCCTGGAATTTAAGGTATAGTACCCATCAAGCTACAAATGATGTACTCTGCACTTTTCCTATGCTATATAATAATTCATTTCCTTTGCTTAAATTTTAAAACTTTTTTTATCATAAAGATATACAGTAGTATATCATTAAGAGTCTAAAAAATGAAGGCAGAATTCTGTTTACATGGATAGTAATGTATCAAAATTATGGCTTGCATATAAATCATAATTCTGTAATGAAAATTATGATGCACAGAACAATGGAATTTAAGGAATAGTACCCAACAAGCTAGAAATGATGTACTCTGCACTTTTCCTATGCTATATAATAATTCATTTACTTTGATTACATTTTTAAGCTTTTTTTTAATCATAAAGATATAGTATACCTTTAAGAGTCTACAATATGAAGGCAGAATTCAGTTTACATGGATAGTAATGTATCAAAATTATGACTTGCATAAATTATAATTCTGTAATGAAAATTATGATGCATAAAGTAAGGTAAATCAATGACAGACATTACCAAAATGAAAAACTTTTAAAGGAATATTCAAGATCATGACACCAGAGGGCAGCATTGCAAAAAATGATTTTGTCATAACAAACTTGTCAAAGATGTAGTGTCTGTTAATTAATAAACTCGAAAAATAAAATTCAATTGCTTACTTTTTAAAATTCAAGTTATTAATAGAGAATTATTTTGTCATCAGTTGATCATTATAGTAATAATAATGGGTCTGTAGTGCACAATGTAATGTTTCTATGCAGAATATATGATAAAAGACAATATAATGATAAAAAAAAACTCATTACAAAATACCCTAGCACTATCTAAAAAATTGGCTCCCGGTGGAAGCACGTATCTACTGCTTGACATGTTTTTTTTTTTTTTTACTTTCAACTCATGCAACATTTTTTTTTTGGGGGGGGGGGGAAGTGGTCGCCACAAAGACCAATTTCAAAAGATTTTAAGCCTGACTATGTATATTTTGCTCTTGTCGGGACATAGAATCCCCCGTCGGAAAAATCGTGGCGCCACCCCTAATAATTAGTAGGACTTGGCCTACTAGTCTCTGTGGATGACCTAGCCTAGCTACACTAGCTAGGGCTGCTACAAGTTGACGACGTACTGTACAACTGAACGGCGAGCCAATGACGGATACCAGCATAGGCTAACCTATACTGAAGTAATGTGAACTGAAACTCGACTGAATAGACAGACCAAATTTGAAATGTCAAAACAATTTTCATCTAACGTAATAATACTAATACTACTTATTAGTAACAAATTAAAGTCAGTAGCTCTACCTAGGCCTACAATTGTCAAATTTAGTGAAATCAAACATCTAGGCGTATCTACAAAGAACTTACATTTCACATCGCAGAGCAAACAAGGAGCAAGAGATGTCGCGCATTGAATGATTCTGTTCTCCCGAACAGGTCACCAATTAACGTAATGTCAACTTAACGTCAAGTTTACGTTTCGGATTGGCAAACTGAGCTTAAAGTGTCTACTGCAAGTGTAAAAGCAATGAAAAGCAGAGGAATCACTTTCACAACCCTGTTCTCCTTGGGTTTCTTTTTGTAAGAGAATAATAATTTAATAAATATTTGCGGTACACCAAATAGGTAGTGGCTTATCTACAGGGATGCGTGTGGGCGCACTCATCTAAAAAAAAACCTGTGCTTCCCCTGGCACCACACTTCCCCCTCCCCTGGAAATTTGTTGCACTTAAAAATCACTTATTTTGGCAGCTAATCCCTTCACTTAATCTTTGAACCTCCCACATCAGCCCCAACACTTAGATACACAACTGTTCATTGGAATATTGAGTTCAAGACCTCAATATAAATGAGCAATTAATTAAAATGATTATTTTCAAGGTTTTTACCGAACAGTTTGTCTATAAATGTTCAACTGGGTTAAAATAACCATTATTTTCTGAATGTATGACTTTATAAAATTATATATATATATATAAAAACTAATAATTGGTCAGCAGGATCTTGAAATTAATTCTCTGACGTGCAGGAAGTGAGTGAAGGTCTTTGTGATGAGGAAAGATAGGTAATACATGCCACAGCATAGTCAAACTTTTCACAATATCAAACTGGGATAACCCATTACAAGATGACATTACATGAACACAACATTGACGTTACATAAGTGTGAACTAATATCACAACTAACAAAGTATTATTTGCATGAACACAGTCTCAATTGGTCGGCAACAACTTAAGGATTAAAAATATATAAGTATTAAAAGTTATTTATTGTTTCATACAAACAGCATTCATTTTGAAATGAAGCCCTCCTCTATACTTTGCAAAAGTAGCCTTGAAAAAAAAGACCATCTCAAAAAGAAGTCAATCCAAAGCCCAGGACTTCAATTTGAGGTTTTACGGTAATGTAATATATAATATATAGTATTTCAAATAAATGTTGAAAGAAGTTGGAAAGTGGCTGTTGGATAATCACTCAAAACTCCTCTGCTTCACAATAACTTAAAATAAAATTACAGCCAACAGCAAGTGATGGTGTAATTTTCTAACAGCGCAATTACGCCATTCTATAAGACCCTTTCAGACAGAAAAGGGTAAGATTACCACAAAACAAAGGTACTGTGTGAAAGGGTATAGAATGCTTATTATGCCGGCATGCATACAGAAATATTGCGGCACCGTCTATCTGAAAAGGGCTTATGTTTCCCTCTGCACACAATTATACATCTCATCTCATCTCAATATACAATAATTGATAAGCCCAGTAACTTATTATATTATAATATTTATTTCATCATATTTGGTACTACTGCACCAAATTTGTTTATATTTTAGTATGAATTAAATTTATTAGTAATATAATATCATGTTTACATTGAGCACTACTACCTACCTCTTCTTCTTTTTGTTGTAGGATTTGGTCTTTGTCTGAAGAACTTTCTTTTCGTCTACCTCCACTATAAAATAAATATAATAAAATACATAAATAAAAAAAATTATATAACAGAAAACACTAAAAATAAATTAGACCACAGGTGCGCAAAGTGTGACAAGAGGGCAATTCTTTTCCAGCCCGGCAGCAATCTTTTTGCGGCCTGCCTACCATCATGGGCTAGAAAACCCATTGTTTTTAAAGGCCTGACACAGATCATCTATATAATGTAATATTAAAACTGACAATAAAGCGGTATAAAAGTAGTGCATGTAAGTATTTCTGGATGTCAAAGTTTGAGTGCGGTCCTCAGTGTTACCCATTTTTATGCCCACCTCTTAATTTGACAGATAAATTTGTGGTGGTAGTATTTGTCTGTTGACCTTTTCCAGTCGTATGGCGTCGCAACGACGCCCTCTTTGACCATACTTTATAGAAAGGGGCGTCGTACGTACTTTTTTTTTTTTATAGCTATGCTACCCTCTATAATATTGTTTGAGTGATGTAGGAGAATTTCTGTATTCAGACTAAATAAAATGCCTGAGCCCAGCAAAAACCTGACATTTAGTGTAGATGATTTAATTTCTCAGGTTTGGTACAGCCTCGGGCAACGGTAATGGGGCAGACTGGAAAGGGTTAATACATAATGTGGCCATAAAATTATTGTGGTGTAAATTAAAAATTAGCCTGTTTTGGAGTACTATGCTCCCCTCTTTCCTGTTTCTTTTCTTCATCTCTTTTATTTATTTTTTTTTGGGAGGTGCCCTATCCCCCGTTGTCCTATCTGGATTTGCTCCTGATCTCTTAGATTTTACAACAGTAGCTAGCTTACCCAGCTTTGGCAGCAGGGGCTGGAGTTCCCCCAGTCCTTGCTAGTCTCTCCGAACGGAAGTTCTCGTAGTGTACTTCATGGGTAACTTCTTGCAGGTCTTGCATATGAGTTCTAAAATTTTGGAGAAAAAAAAAGATGTCATTGTCATGAAATGATTAAAACAAAATCATCCATTCTCATAGAAGTACTAAGCATTTTAACTAGTCACTAAATTCTAGCAAAGTTTTGCACAACAACACCCTTTAAGTCTGTTCTGATTATTTTGACTAGCCTCAAACTTTAGCTATGCTTTATGCTAAGTTATTAACTCTTATATTTTGTTGTACCGCACTGTTTCTTTTGACTAGCCCTTAATGTCCAGCAAGGCTTTGTGCAAAATTATCCCATTTTTAAAATCCAGTTTGAATGTACAGACTTTTATATTAATATCTTGTATTGTTATAAAGGTAATGGACATTTCCCAAAGGTAAAACATATTTATTTATGTATCAATTTTTATGTTGGACTTTGTGGTCAATAAAGAATAGTAATAATAATGTAAGCCCAGCCTCACTAATTCTCAGCAATATTTTATGCAAAATGAAACCAGCATGTTTTACTGTGCTGAATCTAGTAGAAGCTATCTTTACCATTTTCCCCCATAACAGAAAATTTTCTTTCCCCTCTCTCCTCAGTTCCCCCCTCTCATTGGGAAGAGAAAAAAAGTATGTATTTTCTACATATTAGTAGACTATCTACCTATAAAATCAATTAAATAAGTTTATGAAACCCCTAAATTGTCATATCTTTCGAGGGCTTCACCCGCCGACCACTTTCGAGACACCCCAGCATATTTCCCCCTAAAATTTTGCATTTCCCCTCATTTGCCACCCCCCACCCCAGATTTCAGACGCTTTCAACAATGTTTCCTTAAAATGATTCATTCTTATAAAATTGAGCATATCTCCAACATATAAGCTATCTTATAATATGCCATTCAAAATGTCTAATATTATTTCTGGTAGAAATGACACACCTTCATGTAAGAACAAAAACAAAACACATCTTACATGTAAAAACTTACAAGGGCTGTATAATTAATATGTAAGCAATAGTATAAATGTAGTGAAGGAAACAAATTTTCGATAAAAAAATAAAGCTCTCTCTACACTAAAAAATGTATGTGACAAAAAAATGTCATATTTGGGGGTATACTGTAAAACCTTGAATAACAGCCCTGGGCCTCCTTTTTTAGGACCCTTTTAGATGGGCTTCTTTTCGAAATGGGCCTCTTTTTGAAATGAGCTTCTTTTCAAGATTACTTTTGCAAACTAAATGAGGGTTTCTTTTCAAAATGAATGCTGTAAATATTTGGCCAATATGGGCACATTACACAAATTTGTCAGATTAAAATTTCATAGTGTGAACAGAGACTAAGAGGGGTTTCGTACAATGAAGAGTAAAAATCTTGACTTACATTAACATACTGCGCAGCATAATGAAATCACAGTGATCTGGATTTTCAACTAACATAAAAGAAAAGAAAGAAATTACAATGCTGTGCACACCCCTCCAAAAATTACTTTTGCCTCCCCAGTCGCCACCCCAAAATTCACTTGCAAGTAGTTAAAATCCCCTAAAATCACCTTATTTTGCGAGTTAGTGCACCTCAACTGATCATCGAGCCCTACCACTTCACCTTCGCGCTCCCCTCCCCAATCAACCCCCATATTTCAAGACTTCTAGATAGGCCACTGATGTTTGTACATAATAAAAATCTTATCAGGATATTTAATTTGATCCTGGGCCTTGATGGAAACCAAAGAAACAACTGTCTAGGAAATAAAGATAACAATAAACAAAATGTGTATCTAAAGCACTTTCATATAAATATTAACAAAATACTTTTAATATTTGCTTGGCAAAAAAACCCCCCCAAAAAAATCCACAATTATTATGATACACAAGGTGGTGAGATGGTAATAACAATTGTCATTGGCTATTTGGTTAGTTGGTTTTTAGAGATCTCAATGTTTGATACATCTTAATGTTTCACATTTATACGTTATGTTTACCTTCTACGACTCCCCATGGATACAATCGACCTCTGACCTTTTTGCCTTTGACTTCTATCAACTGACTGGAACCACACACTGCAAATGGTACACTTTGCTGCATAACAGAGAGAACAACAAATTTTTATCTGGCAAAAAGCATTTCTTTTACACACATACCTTAACACCAAGTAGTAGCGATAAATGAAATATAGTCGTGGCAATTATAGATTTAATTCTAAAATGTATACACGTGCATGTTTAGACTGAATATGTTATGCTACAATAAGCTGATTTAAACTAAAATGCACAGGTTTAATTAATAATTAATAATAATTCTTAATTTCTGTCCAAGGGGGGGGGGGAGGCAGAGCATCCTAAGGCAGCAGATGCATGTTTGTTTACCTTCAATGAGTTATTCTGCTCTTTGAAATCTTCATCTTCATCAGAGTCACTGTCAGGGAGATGGTAGATCTTGATGCCATTATCGTCAATCTCATTCATAATCTATAAAGAATGTATTTATCACTAATTTATTTTATTATTAATTCATTCCCTTTATCACAATGCAGAATTAAAATCAAGCTCATATGACTGCTATATGAGGGGTCTGGAATAAACATCCTCTAAACACTGGCCATTCTGTTTGTAAACTAGTTTAAAGCTACAATCACTCCAGACATATCTTTTGTTTTATTCATATTTTTTTTAAACGATACTATGAGTGATGGTCATTGAAATAGCACTGTATAAATAAATTGATTGATTGGATGAATTTATATACTGGCTGACTGATATATTGATTAATTAATTGATATATTGAAAATAATCATATAATCATGAATATCATCATCATGGGCTATGGAGTGTACAGATGCCACCCCCAATAGCAACATTTAGAAAATCGGCTATGTGCCCCAGTGAGGTCGGCTAGCACGCATTAGGGTCCGGCCCCGGTATTTCTAATGATGTCATCAATTTAACAAGAGCTTCTTACCTTGGCCTTGAGCTTTGTGATCTCTCGCTTAGTAAGGGTGTCTGATTTTGCAATTACTGGGACAATGTTTACTTTATTGTGAAGGGCTCTCATGAACTCTACATCAAGTGGCTTCAATCTGTCAATAATATTAATGATGCATTGATTCAGCTGTCAATAAATACACATACAAGTAAAACCTTTGCTGCCGGGGACGCATGTCAGACAGGGTTCAATCAGGGTACCAAGTACATGAGTTCACGTTCATACCTGTTAACCACTACCAGACATACCATGTTATTGCACATAAACTCGCTGTCAGTGGTCAACAGAACCTAACTTCTCACCCTGGAAGTTCAGACAAGACCCCTGTAGTCTAAAATAATCTAAAAATGAATACTGTTTATTTTTGTTTGTGTTTCATTACAGTTGATAGGAATAATTTTCATTAAGGTGACATTCTTTATGTCTTGGTATATGGGATGGAGGTAGGAAAATGGACTTGGCAGTTTTAAATCAACAAGTTTACAAAACATTAAAATTAACATTAACATTTATATAGCGCACATTTCTACAACATACATCATAATCAGCAGCATCAATTTTGTTAGAGTTTCTAATATAAATCGGTGCTTTAAATGACTAGTTTAATAAATTTTTTTACAAACCATAGTTAAACATATTTTATTAAATTTCAATGTTTTATAGCTTTAATGTTTTGGTCCCATTATTCATCTCTATTGAGTGTCGACCATAATTGATAGCTGGGCCTTAAATGACTCTTGTCTACCTCTTCTTAAAAGTGGTAGTTTGTCGAAGATAGCCAAGCCTTAGCAGATGCCCATGACTTACCCATGTGCGAAGGAAGAGGTGGTATGGCACATAGACAGCTGCTTGGTAAGCTTTAAATTATTCTACTGATTACACCTGAGGAGGGGGTTGGACATGGTAATTTTTAACCATGATGCATATTAGAGTTTACCTATAGTTTCTTTTAAAAAACAAAAAAAGTTACAACATAAGTAAGCCTTTAGTCTTACCCATGCCCAGTAGGCGAGATGAAGTAGAAGCAACAATGGACCCTGTTGTCCACTATGTGCCTTCTGTTCAAACCGCTTTCATCATTCAAATACTTCTCATACTGGTCATCAATGTACTTTATGATGGGCTTGAAACTTGGGAAAAAAACAACAAAGATAATATTATATGGTAAACTGAACTGACATCCATGTTTTGCATTTATCACTCACTACAATGATCAGTATACAGATAAAATCAACACCAATCTCATTTTAGCAATAGCTGTGTGTGGGAGGTGAAAAGGGAGATTTTAATAGAAAGTTAAGTGTTTTCCAATTTGATAATTTAAAATAAAATCATTTTTGAATACATCAGAAAATTTGTTGTTCAAATCGAATGAAAACTCTTGAAATTGAGAGTTACTTATAAAAATTGGAAAATTTCAAGAAAATAAGACACTTTATGACATGACCAAGATGAGTAGAATTATCTGGACTCCCAAGTCTCTGACCAAACCAGAAGGGTCGCAATGCTTGTCCTTCACAATGCATTGCTTAATGCAGATATACCAAGCATACCTACCAATCTTGATTATTGATGGCATCTCCATATCCAGGTGTGTCTACCACTGTCAGACGAAGCCTTACACCCCTCTCCTCTATTTCAACCGTTGAGGCATCAATGCTTACAGTTTTGTCTATTTTTTCTGTATCCAGAGAATTAAAAGAAAACAAATTTTAGGAAACAAACTTGAGAATAAAATTAAGAATGATATCATAGAGCTTTAATATTCCATGTTACAATTAAAAAATAGAAAATAAGGTAGAAACAAGGAAGGGATGAGAGCATTTTGGCCAAAAATGTGGATAACCATTACTATAACTGTGTATAAAAATGAATGAATTTTTGTTTTGTCAGCCATGTGGGCAACAATAGATTAACATTATAGATGTTATCAAAGATACTAGAAATACAAGATAGAGTTCTCCACACAAAAAAAGTGTTCCACCGTGTTCCACCGAAATGCATGGTGGGAATACGAAAAATGGGACGCCCCCTACAGCTGGATCTAAAAAAACTTGTGCCAAACTTTTGTTACCAAGTCTTCGCGTATTTTATTATCAATTCTCAACAAAGATAGATATAAAAACAAATTGGAATAGACACCCAGACAGTGACATCGGTGAATACATAACCTCCTTGGTGGCGGTAGAAATCATTGCTATTATCCAAATAATACACTAAACAATTAAAGCATAATCATGAATCAGTAAAGAATAAAACAACAATACAGCGCAGAATCGCATGGCCGGACGCACTCTTAGTGAAAAAGTTTTCCTCCATAATAGTGGAAAAGGAAGGGCGCCTTTTGCGTCTGGATATACTTAGTAACAGAAAGGCACCCTGTACGTTGGGCACGAAGTATAGTAAACTTGCATGGTTAAAAAGAAGGGAGCCACCTACGTTGGACACGACTTCCGCCTCATTTTTACAATGCGAGAACTCTATCTTGTATTTCTAGTATCTTTGATGTTATGATAATGAAAGTCAATGTGGTTTACAATGTATGAATAGGGAGGGTCTGATAAATTAGCTTGTACAGTATGTATTATAGTGTTAATATATGAAAAATAATAAAATAATTATAACTCCATGTATGTATTTACAGTAGTACTCTTAATATAATCAAACTAAACTGTTGCTTTAATATTATTAAATAAAAGTTACGAAACACAATTTTACTTTAAATGTTAACACAATTCATTGACCAACAGTACTAATCTGACAGATACCAATATGTCAGTCATCAATCAAATCAATCAATCAGTTTACCTGCAGCACTTGGTATTTGCCTTTCTGGATACAAATCCGTAAGGAACAAACTGTTCACTAGGGTAGATTTACCAAGACCAGACTCCCCTGAAAAATAAAATATTCAGCATTTTTACTTTAATTCATCAACATGCTCGAATCTAAATTACTTCGCATAACAATGGTAAAAACACAAAATATCTCAGATTTCATACATGTGTACTGTAGCATGTACCTCATTGGTATATTATAGGACTAATATTTATAAAAAGAAATTAGTTTTATTAAAGAGGCAAGGCCATTATTAATACAATAATATTTATATCCAATGAACTTTCCCCTTTCCTACTCCCCTCCCCATAGGCACTAGAAACTCAATGAGGTAGAAGACCGTTTTTGATTTGACTTTAATTACTAGCAGCTGTCATAAGATGCTGAGTCCTCCGGAACCTTGTACTTTTTAAAGTACTTTACCTCCATCAAATTCTGTTACCCTGTTTGGATGGACAATTACCACTCAATCACTTAAAGCCTTAAAATTTCCAAAGAAAAAAAAAAGAGATGACTCAGAACTATGCATCAGAAATTTGCAAGTACTTGTCTACAGTGAAAGTATGTATATTGGTATGTAGTGTAAGTAAAATGAAGTGTTATTTTGGATACTTTGATTAGATAATAACTTCACAAACTCTCATTCAAATTTCATGCACAGTACCATAGTCTTGTTCAGATTTCTCAACACACCCATTCACTCTTTTGCTTCTATTCATATTTTAATATCATATATTTCAATACAAAGTGTGCAACATCTTAAAAGCCAAAACCACAACTTCACTGCATAAATTCCTCTGAGTAATCAGCGGCAATCATGTGTGATTTTAGCCTGACAGGTATGTGTCATCAAGAGGCTTTCCCTAAACAAATTTCAATAGCCATACCTCCCCGAGCTTACTATACAGTAAACCACAAATAGTACAAGGTCTTAACCAACAAAAGGCCCTTAATCTACTTTCAATAGCCTGGCTATAATGAAAACATGAGCAATATACCTAAAGAAATAAATATCCAGCCCACAACGGATTACCTTGATAAAAAAAATATAGTCCTGTGAATGTGTTGTGGCCATTTTTAGAGAGAGAAAAAGAGAGATCTCATTTTAAAAAAAATCCTAAGATGAGAACCATATTTTTATTTTTATTTGGCCTACAAGCTGCTACCATAAACCATAATAAGAAAGTATAATACATACTCCAAGTATTGAAATACACGCCATATTCCTGATGATGACATAATTAATGTCGAAATATTGAATCCCAACACGATGGCGTGTATTTCAATACTTGGAGTATGTATTATACTTTCTTATCTGAGATTAATCAGTGGACCTTTCGGTTTTTGATAAACCATAATATTTTAAATGTTTAATTTTATTCATCAATTGTTAAAGTACTTCACACCTCAATTCGCGATCATCCTTCTCTAGATGACAGTTCATTCGAAATGTCAATTAAAGCTGATGCCTACAGTGTATCATCATTTTCTCTCTACTAGTGTGACGTAGTTTGTGGATTGTTTTTTTGTTGTTGGTTATTCATGTTAGATAACTACTATGGAGAAAATACAAATTTGTTATCCATTATTTTTTGCCTTTTTTAGCCATTTTCTATCCAATGCAAGATGAAGGCCTTAGCATGCAATCTCCAGAAATCTCTATTTTGTTGTGCACTTTGATTCCAGTTCACTTACTAGCATTAACCTTTTGCTATTTTAAGTTTATACAGTAGTGGTGTCATCATAAAATTTTATTCCCTGCAAGTTATGAGCATCACCCTTGAACCAGGCAAATTCCTAGTGGTACATCCTTCCTGAAATGACATTTTTCTGTACAGAAGTCATATTACGTAGATAAAGACACATAAAGGGCAAAATGCTACTGTTGCTCGCCGTTGAAATATGATTCACAGACGAAAAAGGAAATGCGTCTTCACCGCTTCCAAAACAAGACTCTGTACCATTAGGCCTGTACAGCAACGGTTTAAGCTAAGGTGAACATGGTAACCCTTAATTATTCTACTCAGCTGCGCAGTTAATAAAATTGCTAGTTTTACTTTGAAGATTTGAAATTAATTTTGGGTGAGGGTACTTACTACTGTATTTCCTATTTACTATCCTATTTATATACTATTATTAACAGGATGGTAATAGAGGGATTTTTCGTTTAAAAGTACGAATCCACTGTAAATGTAATGTATTATGCCATTTATATTTCAACCTCTTCTTTTTGTCAATAATCTTTCAGATCATCATTTTTATTTTCCATGGAAAATGTAGTATTTTTTTTAAATAGAAAAAAAGTAAATTGTTATACCCTCCTCAAAATTTGATGGGGGGGGGGGGAGAGGAGAGAATTAATTTTATTTGGCCTAAAAGATATCAAGATAATTGATAAGACAGTAAGAATACCAGGAAGACACAAACAACATTAACAAATTGTATGTTAATTAACACTTCCTTGCTTTACCATTTTCAAGTTCATAATCGACTACCATATTATGAATCCAAAACAAAACCAAATCTTTGTAATCAATGTAACAAAAGATATCAAGATAATTGATAAGACAGTAAGAATACCAGGAAGACACAAACAACATTAACAAATTGTATGTTCATTAACACTTCCTTGCTTTACCATTTTCAAGTTCATAATCAACTACTATATTATGAATCCAAAACAAAACCAAATCTTTGTGAATCATTTTTGAGAGAATTGGAGAAACGATAATATTTAAGCCCTAATAAACCGTACTGAAAAAATCCCAAAATCCAGTTAATGTACTTGCATACAGTACTGTATGTGAGGAATAGAGGTCACAAGAAAAAAATAATTAACATGTGCTGATTTCAAAATAAATGATCAAAGCTTGCTCCATTTTTCCAATTAATGCTTTGCTATTTTTTGCTATGTTCATAATCAAAAAACCAAATTTGTGTGCATCATTTTAGAGAGCATTGGAGAAACAATATTATGTAACATAGGCCCCAATAAACTGCACTGAAAAAACCCAGTTTATGTACTCGCATACTGTATCATGAACAATAAAGGAGACATTGTCACAAGAAAAAAATATATCTAATGTGCCAATTTCAAAATAAATGATCAAAGCTGCTCCATATTCAAATTAATGCCATCTGCTTCACAATTAATCTTTTTCATCAAGATAGCTATCAGTTCAAAGGTCAATTGAGTTCATTCAAATCTAATTACTGTTCTGCCCAAAGGGGCATTGAAGAATGTGGCTAAATTACAATTTCCATCTAATTAAACTTCAAGAAAAACCATTTCTCATATTACCAAAACCAAAAAATAAAAATTCAATATTGAAATTGTCTACTTTTTAGGAATATATTAGTTTTTAATTGAAATTTAGAATGATTTTCCTTGCCAATTAGCAGACACATAATACTGATCCTTTTCTTTTGTACCCTTGGTTGGTAAATACAATTAATTTAATAATTTTCATATTAAAACACCTGTACATCAGTCAAAAATTTCAAATCGTTAACTGTGACTCACTGGACGATAACCTACTTGACCTTCTTACAGTATATGTAAAATTAAATTTTAATTTAAGTTTTGTAGTTTTTCCAGATTTCACCAAAAAAGGCTAAATTGTATATTTCACTATATGCAAGTTTCTTTTGTTATCTTAAAAATGAAGATAGCTAAATATTTTGTAAGGTAAAGCCAATAATTCTCAAAAAGCGTTCATTTAAATAATGGGCCTTTCTCGGGGTGCCAATCAAACTTAACACCTGACCATTCAGAACAGGGCCACGAACACACGTTTTTTTGCGTATGTGTTTGTGTATGTTTTTACACTGTTGATTTGTGGGACATTAACAACAGGTCCATTACAGATTATGATGCAAAAACACATTACTGTAAAATTAAATTATCATTACTACTGTACACTATAAAATAATTTGAATAAATAAATTAATTTATAATTATTATCATAATACTACAGTACATTATAAAAAGAATTTATAATATAAAGTAAATTTTGATGTTATCAGTTTACTTTTTACCAAAGATGCCTAGATGCCTTTGTCAATTATTTTGCTAAATTAATAAAAACAAAATTTTATTTTTTTTCCACACTTATGACAATCTTTAAAAAAATAACTTTGCTAAACAAGGTATTAGAATTTAAGTGTTGCTTTACAATTAGCAGAAAAGTGTTTTTAAAGTGAAAACAAGTCTCCTAGCATCTCTACGCTTTCAAGAACAACTAAATACTTGTTCTCATTTATCATTCTATCTGATTAAAAGTTATCCTTTGCTCACTTTCTTGTAAATGGCTAAAAAACATTGCATAGCTTTATTCAGAATGTGAAGTGAGAATGACATTTGGCGAGATAAACCATCACATCACCTGGATACTAAGTAAAAAATAATTACCCTCAAAAGAATAAACTGATACATTCATTTAGGAGATAATATGTTATAAAACACTTTGGACTCACCTACAACCATGAGTGTGAACTCAAAACCCTTCTTAACTGATTTTCGGTGCACCTGATTGGGTAAATTCGCAAAGCCTACATAGCCGGGAGTCTCTGGATTACTGAACTGTAAAAATAAAATTGTAGTTTGTGGATAAGTCTAATAGCGGAGGAATGACATCACTGGTAGAAAACTCAATCAACAGAATATTGTGGAACAGTATGACACACTATTAAGTATTATATTTGTGCGGAAGATATCTCAAAAACCAACTAAATTTTGAGTGGAAAAATTGCTAGAAAAATAGGAATCGTAAATACTGCTTAATACATTAGTTGGATAAGAGACAGGCCATTTAAAATGTGTGCAGACTGCAATCTTAGACTAATTTTTGAATTTGAGATATACTTCCTGCACAAGACATATTTTAGTTTTACAGTCTGGCTCCCTGTAAAGTATTTTAATTGCACGTATGATACCTCAGAAAATAGCTCAAATTTGTGCAAAAAATCGCTAAGATTCAAATAGGTACGCAGAACAATATTACATCATATTACGATTAAGTTAAATACTAATTTTCTGCAAAATCTAAATCGGCCCTATTTTCCAAAAAGTGCGGACGGATTTCTAGGACTAATTTTTGCATGAATATATTCCCGAAGCAGGCCTTACTTTACAGTCTAGGTCTGACTTGTCTGGAAGCAGTTATTATTTATGAATATTTTGTAATAAATTATGCTGACTTTGTTGGTAAAATTTCCATCATATAAGTTCATACTTAGGCCTATCCTAGCTAGTTAGGGCAGGCCAAGGCCTAGGTTCCCGAAAAATAAATCTGTGTGAACTTGCGTTGGGATTTATGCTGAGACCCTGGTGCGGGTCGAAGAGGCAAAGCCTCCTGGAAGCTTGCGCAACCAGGGAATTTTCACTTCTGATTTGATTGGTGTGAAATGAAAATATTTTTTACAGACTCTGTTCTTTTTGGTTTCACAGACAAAATGGCAAATTATTTATTTATTGCATATCACTGTAGGCCTATATCGTTCACCATCATTATTAGCTTAAAAAATATCTCCGTTATAAACCTTGAAATCCTTGAGTTTTTTGTTCATCCGTAGAAAAACTGGCAAATGTAAATATTGGCGAACCTCACGGTCAATCCGTATAACTTGGCAACTAGGCTAGGCTTGTAGGCCCTAACCTCATGGCTAGGTAGGTTCTCCTCTATCTAGTAGTTGGAGGCATACCTACAGTAGGCCCCTAGCTAGGGCCTAGCTAGTGCTAGACGGGCCTTGTTTCATGTGCAACACAAGTTCCTAAAACTAAGAAGGCTAGGCCTAGGGCCCTACACTGTATTTCTGCGAGAATTTGGTTGGAAAGGTAGAGGCCCTAGTGAGCTCTTGTTTATTAACTAATACACAGGAAGGGAAGTAGCTTTCTTCAGATATCCTAGGCCAAATGGTCTTCTTGCCTGAAGGCAACGCCGCCTAGGCCATAGTCTGGTCTAACCTTACTCTCTCGCCTATGCTAGGCCTGGTTTAGCCCAGGCCAGGCCCATGTTGAACAATGAAATCATGAACAAGATAGATTCCGTCAAATGGGTAGGCCTACTTACATTTGATTTATCTGAGAAAGACATTTTTGCTCAATTAATAGGCAAGAATCGCTCATAAAAGAAAAATAAATAACAGCAGTGTCAATTTGACAAAACTACAATTAATGGGGTGATAAAATTCCGTTCTCACGCAAAAAAACCAACACTCCCACTCCCAAGAGTTCACCACTAAACTTTTCCCTCGGTAACGCCCTCAACGCCCAGCCACAAGAAAACGACGTTTCCAGGTTGCTCGTCGGGTTTCGTTTCCATTTACGTACAAACAAAAAAAGAACAGAATAAAATAAAATAGAACATAGCGCTTTACCTCATTGCCATAATGAGAACCGATATTGGAAATTATTAACTAAAAAACAAAATCATTAAAAATTAATAAAAATCATAAAGCAAAAAAATCATTAAAAAAAATTAACAAATTTACCTCATTGCCATAATGAGAACCGATAATAGAAATTAATTTAAAAAAAAAAAAAAACCATTAAAAATTAATAAAAATCATAAAGCAAAAAAATCATCGTCGGTGATTCATCGAACTAACTAGGGTTGCTATGTAGTAACGAGGTGATGTGGAGAGTTCTAACCAAGTTGCACCATACTTAACCGTGCCATGGTTTGCGAATTTTTAGTACAACTACCTTGTTATTATAATAAGTTGAGAGCAAAATTATGCATTTCATGTGTGATTTTGTTTAACCTAGCTGCAGCAAGTTTGAAATGCTTTAAAATCGCAAATTGTATTAACATTTTTAATTACCCGTTTATTAATATTCAAATATGTAGAATGACACCCTATTTTAATATACACTTCTTCGCTATGGTCTTTGTTGGACAGAGTTTGAAGATCCAAGCAGCAAAGTACTGTACCAATCAGAAAACCCATGCAAAAAAAGGGGGAAAAATCTGAACAAAAACAATGGCTTTTACTAGTAAGTTGAAGTCAATTAGAAAAACAGAAAATAACTATAAATTAAGATGCACGGTGGGGGAGGGGACACAGCAGGAAATCTTCTTTCTACCCCCCCCCCACCCACAAGAAAAGAAGAAAAAACCACAATTCATCGAGGAGAAAAGAAGTTATATGTATTTTCTACATTAAATAAGCCTCTGAAACCCCTAAATTGTCAATTTTATCGGGGGCTCTGCACCATGGACCTATTTAGAAGCATATTTATTGACACCTAACAAAGCCCACTTTGGCCATGTCAGGGACCTTCTTCCCCCTCCCCCACCCAAATCGTACCTTTCCCCTAACATACGAATGTAATTGAGGATATATAAGTGCATTTTTACGTATGAAATTCTAACCACAATCAATATTGTGTTGTTTCATTTGTGTTCTTCAAATACGCACCATGGACCTATTTAGAAGCATATTAATTGACACCTAACAAAGCCCACTTTGGCCATGTCAACAAACAAACAAGTATAAAATATTTTTAGGCATTTAATAAAAAGAATATTTACCCCGACTGATGTCATACAAAAAAAGGCTTAAAATGCAGGTTGCAATAGTAGTTAAATGAATATTGCTTTTTACAAAACAGATTCTCTTTAAAACTGTCTCATATACTGTAAACAACATAGGTAAATGTAACCACTGAGAAGATGAAATATATTATAAGAGATAACCAGTCAAGATAAAAAATATCATCCTCTTGAAAGTATTTACTTAAAAAATAAAAGAATAAAATTAATAATAAAAATATTATTTTTATTACTAAATAATAATAATCACAATAATAATTACAGTATAACATAGTAGCAGGTAATAAGAATATTTTATCATAAAATGGTTGCAGTAATCAGAAAATTATCAGAATCTCTACGACAGAACTGTGGCACTTTAATTGATTACACTTAAAAAATGAATCTCTCTTAAAATTATCTTCTTTTAAAATCTTCTCGAAAAGTAAAATTTATCTTTCTCGAAGTGTCACTTTTGACAATGTCTTTTTTTTTTTGTTTCAATGAAGCTTCGCTATTTTTTCAACAACATTTTAGCAAAGTCAGCATTCGTCAATTTAGGCTTTGATGTTTCAAGAGCTTCTTCTGTTGCATCTGCTGCTGATGTTTCAGTTGTTTGTTTCACAGTTTTTGTAGGTTGAGGGCGCTGTACAGCCCTTGGAACGAGTGATATTTGCGTTCTACTCTTGCCTCTTGGTCCTGAAATACCTCTGTAATAACAAGAAAAAGATCATCATTATTATCATTAATATTACACCTCCTAATATCATAATTTACATTTACTATTTTTATATTACTAAATACCGAACCGTCCACTGATTAATCTCAGATAAGAAAGTATAATACATACACCAAGTTCAATACTTGGAGTATGTATTATACTTTCTTATATTACTAAGTTATCAAAGAAATTAGAATTACTGTATAAGACTTATAAGATTATTTATAATTAGAAAAAATTGCAACTTACTTTGCTCCAAGGGAAACTGGTTGTGCAGCACCCTCTTTAGTTGAGTCTGAAGGTGGTTTTCTTGAAGGAGGGTTGCTAATAGCAACAGCAATAGTGTGCTCGCCTATGACAGTGCCATCAGCTCCTAAGACTGCACTTGATGCCTCACTCTAGCGAGAAAATATGCACGAGAGATTGAATAATTTCATCATTACATCATCACCATCTCAATTATCAATGTTAACACCATTAGTATCAATGTATCAACACCATCATTATCACCATCATGATCATGATGATAATGATGTGATATTCATCACATTTTATTGACTTCAATTTTTAATCTTTTCCCTATTTTTAAGCATGTATTAACTTTCAAGAAAATCATTGTTATTTGCCATTTAGTGTTGTAATTTTACATGCAATTTAGCCTCCGGGCCATGATTTGTGGAATTTTGTAATAAATTGAATTGAATTAAATTGAATTGATGTTGTTGTATACTGAATAAAGGCATGTCAAGTCAATTCATGATCATCATCACCACTGTAATTTTTTTTTTATCACTAACATCATCACCATCTACTATATCATCACCATCTCCATCAGTATCACCAATATCATCATCACTATATCTGTTACTGTAATCATCACTGTTGTCTTACCATCATGTTCATCATCATTACCATAATCCTCATCCTCATTTCTTAAATGTCATCACCATCAATATCATCATTCTGAATACTGCCATCACCTGGTTACTTTAGAAGAGACCAGATTCTACCTCAATCCAGACAAAGGGATTGGATGCTTACCTCTTTCTCATACTCCACAAATGCAAGTCCTTTTGGTACGCCACTTCGGTAGGTAACAATCCTCACGTCTTTTACAGTCCCATACTGAAATGTAAAAAAACAACAATGCTCTACAACATTACAGGTTGATAGTATTTAATTCACATTACACTTTTTATTAATTTAAAATAATAAAATTATAATAAAAATGATGATAGTAATAGATCTTCATACACGGCAATGGAAATGATGATGATACGAGCATATTTAAAAATAGTTGCTTGTAAGTTTCACAGATAAAACTGTCCTAACTGGGAAATGAATAGAGCAAGTTGGCTTGATGGTTACTTTAACATAGAAGTGGGCATAAAAATGGGTTGGAGGGCCAAAGTGAATTTTTAATTCAACACTGAGGGCTGCACCCAACTTTGATGTTTCCAGTGTGCTTCAGAAACATTCATGGACTGCTTTTGCACAACTTTATGCTTAGTTTTAATATTTACTTTTTACAGATGATCAATATCTGGCTGTAAAAAACAAGGTTTTTTTCTAGCCAAAGATGATTGGCCAAACCTATTTTCGTGGGCCGCAACTAAATCACTGTCACTTATTTTATGTAAAATTATTACAAACCTTCGCAAACATTTCCTGAAGGTCTTCTTTAGTGGTGGTTCTTGGTAAGCCGGAGATGAAGAGCTTTTTCTGGTCAAGACCTGTGTCCCACTGTCAAAAGAAAAACACTGTGTCATTCTTGCCATAATAGTATAAAACAGGAATGCTGAAGTAATACAGTATCTGTACCTTTAATCTCAAGCTCTTTTAATACAATCATACTGGTCTACAAGGATGTCCAAATTCAAAACTAATCATAGTTATAAAATTAGAATATATGAAAGACAAGTTATTTTCACTATTGAATCTATTCATTGCTTGCAGGTGTGAATAAGCTCTGCCTACTGACATTTTACCCTCTTATTCATAAAACATAAACACCATGGTAGTGCAAATTAGACAAATTAGTAGGCTGTTGTTAATCTGAGTGAGATGCTTACAGTGCCTGGATACACTCCCTTACCTTCCTCTTCAGGATCAGTTATAATTTCCATGAAAATCATGAATTGATTAGGTGTTTCACAGGGCTTTGTGTATAAATGACATGGGTGCTTCCATTTATTTCAAGAGGTAAGTTCCATAAGAGGGACTTTGAATTAAGTTGTTTATCTACTAAGTATTCACAAAATAGACTAATGAATTCATGTTTGTCTTTATGACTACCACCAGTTGAATAGGAGACTAGATTTACACATTACAGATTATATCAATCATAAATGATTTTACCTTGAACTGTTTCGCCTTTGGTTTATCACCTTTTGATTTGTCTACACTAGGGTCAACATATAAAGGGCGCCCATCGATTTCATGACGATCCAGCTGTAAAGCCTTCACTACCGATGCCTAAATGGAACAATAAAATGTTTAAAGAAACTGTTTTCATACAGTGACATAAGTTGATACAACAGTAGATTACACATTACATGTTAATACATTGACTGCCAAGCCTTTTTTCCTAGTTATCACCCATATGTCAAGGCATAAAGGGCGCCATCATCAAGAAAGTCATTCCTATCAACTGTAATGAAATGTGAACAAACCTCCAGGGCAAGAGTTTGTGTTTTGGCAACCACTGCCTGCGATTTTATGTTCAATACAATAGTATGTTTGGACAGGTAGGAACATGAACTCGCATTGTTGGCGCCCTCAGCTAACCCTGTCAGATGTGAACCCGAAATCCCTGACAGCAAACGTATTGATTTAAGTGCAATTGCACATACCTCGTCTTTAAATTCCACATAACAAAACCCTCTGAACTTGTTTTTGTTTCCAACCTTCATCCTCACATCAGTAATTTCTCCACACTGGGAAAGACAATTGACAACAATAATAGTGATCCAATATTTTGTGTATAAATGACATTGATTGACATATAGGCGAGTTGGATGGCTAGGCGGTTAGGGCGGGGTGGCACAATGTACAGCAATAATATCGGTGTTGGTTTGAATGGCACGCCCGTCTAAGGTGGAGGAACAAGACTTCTTGAATAAGGACTACAAACCGTAGGCCCAGTGTACGCAATTTGGCTAATGAACACATTACATCCTTCGAGACGATTAGGTGGTTACCCCAATGTACTGGTCCATACAGGTGGTACCGGTTTACATGACATGAAGAGTACCATAGGGGAGAAGCAAGTTACTGTAAGAGCTAGTCTACACCTTGAGCACTTTGAGACTGTTTCGCAATAAAGTGATACATAAATCTAACCATACTACATTATAATTGTCACAATTACTAAGTGAACTGTATTCTGGTTGTTATGTTCAATTTCACAAATATATACCATGAGATGATGGAAATTTGTTATCTACCACTTACTTGATTAAATACAGAGCGTATCTTTTCATCTGTTATGTTATAACTTAGATTTTTCACAAACACTGTCAGGTTGTCATTGTAGCTATGACCAGCCTCCTTTGGCAAAGTCTCTGTAGTATTATCCTTTATTACTGAAGAAAAAGCGAATAAATTGCATAAGTAATTTATCATTGAAACATATATTGCACTCTTTATATCATAATACCAAAGCCAAGGCACCATAAATTTACAATGTTTATTATTAACTAATAAGTTGAAACATATGTAAACAAACCAAGTATGTTGATCTGTTTTATTGGTGGTATTTCATTGTCTTTGTTGCAAGTCCCCAAGAAAATTTTTCAAACACTTATAGCAGAGGTGGGCATAAAAATGGGTCGGAGGGAATTTTTGATTTAACACTGAGAGTAGCACCCATATTTATATGTTTCCAGGGTGCTTCCAAAAACCTTCATACATTGTTTTTATACTGCTTTATATTCAGTTTTAATATTACATTTTACAGGTGATCAATGGCGGACCGCACACATAGGATTTTTAATGTATTTTTACGGGCAGCAAGGAAGTCGTTGGGCTGCAATTTTCCCACCTCTGACTTATAGAGACGTATGAAAAAACTCATATACGCACATGTTAATTTGCATGTTGTATACTGAAAGTTTCACACTATTTCTATATATAGAGTAACCACAAATTAGTTGTGAATGACTAAATAGTATTAGAATAGAACCTGTGTTTGAATTAATTGTTTACTTACCCTCCTTCGATGATGTTGGTTCTGGTGGCGGTTGTGTGATAGGTGGTGGTTGCATGACAGGTGCTTGTTTCTGGGCTGATTTGGTGGGCGACTTGGGGGTCGGAGACATGAGGAGGGTTGGTACCTTAAAACCTTCTTCATCCAGTTTAGCCTGCTTAGCTGATACCTCTGGTTCTGTCTCAGCCTGAAAATTGAAGATTAGAAATGTTATGAAAAAAAAACTGTAATGGGAAAAATATCCTTCCAACAAATATACCCAAGGACATTTATTACTTAAATGTGAGTACTTCACTACACTGCTTCTTTCTTCCCTTGAGTTAAATGGGTATCTGGTGGGATATAGAACTAATCTGTCTTACAGCATCATAAGAATATTCTCAACATAAATATTTTTTTTAATTACATTACTGTACATAAAAAAAGCAAACAAATTGAGAAGATTTAACATTGTGCACCATTGCCTATAAATTTGATATAATCAGGGAACTGAAGATCTATTACATTACACTACTTTAAAGCTTTAGAAGCTGTTTGTTGCTGTGGGAATGGATTGGTTTGCCAACCTCAAACTCTGAGTATCAGTCCCTCGATGAGCATTTTGCTTGTGTCCTTGCATCCCATCCAGGGGTATCCACTCTTTACACTACAAAAGCTGGCAGTAAGCTCCAGCCTTATAAGCCACAACAGCTCCCGAAGAATTTCCTTTTACTTTTAAATGTATTAAACATAAAAATTCTGAATCAATCTATTTTGTGAGCAATGCAGGAATAGTGTGTGTATTAAAAACAAATAGTAACACTAATCAGTGGTTTATTACCTTTCTTTTTGTCGATTCTCTTTTACTTGTCTCAATAGACCCTTCTTCTGTTTTTTCATTACTTTTCTGACGTTCCCTTTTCTTTCTTGCCTTGTTCTTTTTCCCTTTACCTCTTTTCTGTGCCTCTTGTCCCTCCTTCCCAATGACTTCTTGTTTCTTCCATTCTGATTGGACTCTACCCTCATAATCTGGTTTGCTTTTACTCTGCCAGTTTTTGTTGCCACCTTTGGAAAATTTCTTTTCTGCTTTCTTTGCTGCCTATAAAATTAATAAACAAAATTATGTATTAATCTAGCGAATCCAGAGGTGGTGGTCGGCGATGTCCAGAACCACCCCCACACCCTGAGATTTAAGACTGCCCTTTTTTAAGTGGAAAAAACATTTTTGTACAAATGTTGGTAAACACCCAGCAGCTGTTTTTTGTGCTCATTTATGAGAATAATTTTCAATTGAATCTTAATCAAAATATTTTTGACTTATATTACACATTAAACATAAGTGTCTCAAAATTGGGAGGAAGACAAGACAGAAGAGAGTTCAGAAAATATAACAGAAAACAGAGTTTCCAATTTAAGACTTATAATCATCTGGCAATTTGGAGAAGACAACCTCTCACAATTTCTCCCCGATGTTAAACTTTTGTCAATCTACAAAGGAGTGAAATATTTCTGGACCCCACCTCCTACAAATGTCTGGATCCACCCCCAGCATGGTCTAATGAATCCTGACAAATTTTGTGTTAATTTAAAAGCTGTAGCTGCAACCAATACACAATGATTTAAAGGTATGAGTCACAACCTTCGCTCTGTATTTCTCCGCAGCTTCAAGAATGGCCTGCACTTTGCACACAGCCTCCTCATATGAATTCAGCGAGCCATACTCCCGCTCAAAGTTGAGTAGAGTTTCACAGATCTTCTGCGGCCAGTCGGTCTCTAGATCAACAGCCTGTTGTAGCACTTCACGGCATGTCTGAAGATCTCCATATTTTCTAAAGATAATGTTATATTTTAACCAAATGTGTATATAATTACTGTATTTATTCAAATAAACACCCCACTTTGAATAAACTACCCTTCTAGAGCCTCATTTGGAATAAATGCCTCCCTCAAAGAAAAGCCCAGAGGCATATATTTTTTTCTCGAATAAACACCCCCTAAATGACCGTAAACAAACCTAATAAAAGCAACATCATTCTCAACATATTCAATTATTGGTGTATCTCCAGTAGAATTACATATTTTCTAACCTGGTTGAGATCAATAAGTCTTTATGATCACGTACTGTAAGAACACATTTTGAAGGTAATTATGTGATGTAATTACACATTTACAGTAAAATAAAGGGAAGCTCATTTGAGTACGTATGTATCCACTTTACAACAAAAAAATAAAAGCCTCCATCAAATAAATGCCTCAGACATTTATTCGCTAATAATACATAAAACACTGTACTGAAAGAAAACAAGCATATGTTGATTCATTCAGATTAAGTATTGACGAAATAGACTCTCTTATGCATACTTGCAACAATAAATAAATGAAGCATTAAATATAATTTATAATAAGATGTAAAAATAAAACAAGCCAATATAAACAATTGGGAAAATGCTTACAGCTCAAATTGGTAATATTCAAGCCAATATTCTGCTTTATAACCATTGTTGGATTCTAGAATCTTCGACCACTGTTCTCTACCACATTCAAGGTTGTTATTGTAATGGGTCTAAAAAAAATATATATTGGAGTAACAAAGCATAATTTATCAAATAAAGATTGATACATAACATGACACTACAGAGCATATGGATACAGGGAAAATTATTCTCACCTCAACTTTGGCCCAGTACCTCTGCAATGTACACAGTTCATCACCCTGATCACCAAAGTCTGTCAATATATGCAAATAATTAATTTAATAACTCGTGTAAATTTATCCAGTACATTATTCACATACCAACAACAACAAAAACAGCATTAGAAAGGCGGCTTAGCTGAGTCGGGTGAAATGTTGTAGCCATTGTAAGTTCGCGGAATCGTAGAGATCCTTTGATACCTGGTTCAATTCCATCCACTGCTCTCCTTGTGTTTCAGCTAGCAGGCTGAAATGCATGGATATATAAAAGAGCACCATCTTTCGAATGAGACATTTAAGCCCTTGGCCCTGTGCTCAATATGGCCCATGTACATGTTAAAGGACACAGTAAACTCTTAGGAAAAGAGCAGGGGATTGTCACAAAGTGTACTGCCCAATCACCACCAGAAGAACCCTAATGGAAATAAGTCTTCAGACTTTCGTGGGTTATTCTTTGTGTTCACATCAAATAAATCCAATTCAATTAATCATAAGTAGTATAAGTATTATATTTAAGCACTTCCTTTGTGACACACACATTCAATCAAGCAGCCAACTCCTAAGGAGGTATATTATTCGATGCCAAATTTCATTACTTACAACGACTCAAGAAGTCAATGGCTCTCTGTGCGGTATCTCGAAACTCTTGCAGAGGAGCTCCACCTGTGACAAAAGAATGTACATAAAAGAATTGAAACTCATGATAAAGGAGAGTTGAAGAAGGAAGATGAGCCAAAGGCTCTGTCACTGTTTCAAATACATAAGTGGAGGTCTTGTGTTCCAGTAGACATGAAGTGGTAAGTTGATGATGATGGTGGTGATAATGATGATGAGCATTATGATGATGATGAAATAATGATGACGTTGATAATGATCGTGATGATGATGATAAGAAATAATAATATAAAATCTGCATTTATATAGTGCATAATGCAAAAAGCTGATAGGAACATCAATAACTTATAATGTTCAAAAACAACAATATATTTGTACAAAAATGATGATATTTATTGCATATTCTGTTAATGTTATTATTTGTTTTGTAAATTTATATTACCACTATGAGTGCACTACATGGTGTGTGTCATTGATTCAAAATGTAAATTTCAAATAAAGCTGTTAATATTATGACTTAATTTTTCCAAGATTTGTGAAGAAAAAACAAGGAAGCCCCACAAACATGATGCATGAGAATGGGAACCATGATTCATGGTTACTAATCTGAACCACAATAAGAACTTGGCAGCTCCTACAACAAGCAACCACACCTCCTAATTTTGCTTCTAATAAAGGAGGGGGGGGGGGCATTGAGGAATATAAGACCCAGACAAGATGATATTTTAAATATAAAAAAAGCAAACAGTGCATACCTGTTTTCCATTCAATTCGTCTTTTCAGGTAATTAAGATAACTTGTCCAAACATCTAGGTATTCACCAGAACTACTGAAACCAGCCAAAATCGCATCCTCAAACACTCCTGCAACAAGAGTATAGTGTACAGGATGCAATGTTAAATTTATATAGCTGGCATCCATCAGCAAGTTGGTACTTAATGGAGCAAAAAAAAAAAAAAACAATAGGAGGGCTATGTTGGGGCTAGTTTTACATTCTTTTTCAACCAAAAATTATTCAATGCTTTGTGACAAAAAGGACTATACTAAGATATGAAACTGGTACCATAGATTGCTATACTGTACTCACATTATACTGCCCCAGTTTTATTACCCATAATTATTAATTGGGTTATTCTAGAAAAAGCTTTTGGAAGATGCTGTTAACTTCCAAAAATAATTGGTTCAATTTGTTGGTTGTTAATCTATTTGACAATGAATAACAATTTAATTTACGAGTATTGTATTATATACAGAATAATCTACATTATCATTCATTATGTGCAATATACAATACCTTGTATTTCACTATGCGATTGTTTCACTCTTTCTAAAGTTTGTAGGTAACCGACCCAAAGAGCTGCTGACCAGGAACAATTCCTGACAGCTCTCTTATGGATCATGAGGAGTGACTGATCATCTATCTGGTTTCTTTCTTCTTCAGTGCCACCTTCATCACTTTTCTGGAGACTGCTGTCCACTTTCATATCTTCATCTGTAGTCTGTATATCTTGCCTTGTTTCCTTGCTGCCAAGAGATTGATGGTAACGATAAAATTTATTCTCATCATCTTTCAACACCTTCTCATGATTGGCTCGATAATCATCATCCTAGAAAAAAAAAAATTGCTAACGAAATCAAATGGCTGTGTAAAGTACTTTAAGTAAAACAGGAAACAAATGTGAGGAATGAGGTGGGAGGAATGGGGGAGGGGTGGGGAATATATTATAACCATTCTCAGTTTATACATTTTAAGTAGCCTCCACTTCCTTTACAATAGACAATATAATATCTGAACAATACACAAATATATAATTAGATCATTTAATGATATTAAAATAAACAATAGTACATAAAAATAATTAAAAATAAAAAAGCTTTAAAACTAAATTCATATAAATTTTGAAGTCAATTGTTTTGTTTTTACTTATTAAAGAAACATATGATCGGCTAAACTGGAAATGACTTCTCACCATGGCTTCAGTGTAAGCCTTCCACATCGCTGGATTCTGCCAGTTTTCAACGAGAGCCCGTTCATAGAGGCACTGGAGCCTGCCAACATCGCCTTTAGACTTGATTGCTCTGATGTAGTTCTCATACTCGGCTAACCTTGGAGATTCTGCTTTGCTCTGGTGAAATAAACCGTTTAGAATTCATTAAAAGATTCCAGCATTGATTGTAAGTATGGATGTAGTTATGATGGGCGGAGGTTGGTGGGGCCACCTAGCCTTGAAGTTTTCCACCCAGTCTAAAGCTAATTTCCTGGCCCTCCACCTGCTCTTATTAACCCACTTTTCCACCTTAAAATCCACTCTTATTATTTAGAGTTTACTAATGTTATCATGCACCCACCCTCAAAATGTCTATCATCAATCCTTAGTTTTCTTCAGCTACAACCCTGAGTAATAAGTAATATTTATTGCTTTCAATGAAATCATTACAGAGGCAAAAATGATCAAAGTGAGATGTTGTAGCTTGTTATTATTAATATATTTTTCCAAAGGTTTATTAAGGTTTTACAACAAACAGTGTATGAACAATTTTAATTTTAACAAACCAAGTAATAAACTGACCCTGTTCCTGTCACAGGCATCATCTTTGGAGTGATGGCTCTATTTTCAAGCATATTGCACAAGGTGTTGGACGCTTAACAGCAGGGTTGTATTATGCGACTCAAGATGATGTTAGTGAAAGGAACATCAAAACTGTCAGTAAGGTCAGTTTATTACATGGTTTGTTAAAATTGAAATTTTGTTTATATCGTATCTGCAAACCACATGAATATCTTCAACAAACAGTATATTTTAGGCAGTGACTATTTTTGCACCAGTCGTAAACCAATAGCTAATTCTGATTGGATGTTATTGTCCCAATCCATACATACGATAACATCTAGTGGCAAATTCAGGGAGAGGGAGAGTTTGCCCACACCTCCTCCTGAATCAAATTTTTCAAAATTATATAAAATAAGAATGAAATGAGAAAAAAAAAGAAACTACTGTAATATTCAAATTTAAGTCTCAAAGTCCTTCCATGGGCCCGTCTCTATTTCAAGTTTTTGGATCCGCCACTGGCATCGAATCAGAATTAGGAATTGGACCAAGACTGGTGTAACAATAGCCACTGCCTCTTTTTAAATAATAATAACAGTGAAAATTAATCACTCACTAGAGCTACTTCATACTTATTGTATGCTTTTAGTTGGCATAAAGCTTTGTTGTATTTATCTGTCAGATCTTTTGGAACACCATCTGTTACAAACTGTTGGAATTCTTGATATGTCTCTTCCATATCTGTAAATTTAAAGAGTGGTGCAGTTAGTAAGCGATAGTTGTTTTCCATATGACGAATACTGCTTGAAGAATAGTAAAATAACATTGAAGATAAAGTGTCATTTGTAATGTGTTTTCCTGGTCTTCAGGTCCACATGCTTTAAGTGTTGCTGTCATATTGGTGCAGTAGCAGACAACTGCACCAGGCACTCATATACTCCTGTGTAGAGAGAAGCAAGACAGATATAGTGTCCTGAAATTAAAACCCTGACCTCGAAGTTGAGAAACCAAACCGTTCCTGCTGCGCCAAACCGCAGTCAGATGAATTGAGGAATGATGTATAATAGTTATTAACTCATGTACTATATGATACTCTGCATCTATATAGTAGCACATATTATTCTTTTTTTGCTCTTTTAAAAAGTAGTATCGTAAATGCTGGTATAAGCGCTGCTATCCTTTCCGAGCCACTGGGGCTCATAGGGCTGGAGCTTGTTTCTGTAGTGTGAAGCGGATGAGAGTTGTACTCCCCCTGGACGGGGCACTAGTCCATCGCAGGTTAGTCCCCAGCAGGTTGCTGGTACCCATTGATACAGCTGGGCGGACTGAAGCAATGTAGCTAAAGTGCCTTGCTCAAGGACACAAGCGAATCTGCACAGCGGAGAAACGAAACCCCGACCTTACGATTGAAATTCCGAGCCTCAACCGGTGCGCCAAACTGCCGCTGCAGCGCCTATAAAATTTTTTGAGGATTCAGTTGTGGCACTTATTCAAGTGCAGCGCTATTCGAAAGTGGTGCTTATAAAAAAAAATAGTGGCATAGCACTTTCCATGCCCGTTGCCATTTTACGTATCTCACATAATCCCATAGTTCAGCAGATCTATCATAGGTCCCCTGTCATCGCAATAGATGTCTTCATTGTGTTATTTATTTATCTATTTTAACACTGTATACATTTTATTAAAACCTTGTTTTTCAAAGTGTTTCATTACACACAGGGTAATATTACTCTCAATAAGCGCTGTGGTGCTTAGCTAAAAGAAAATCAGGTTTGGTGTAGAGCTTATTCAAAGTGGTGCTTATTCAAGCATTTACGGTAATAGTAAATGTTTGATGTTATATTTACTTACTCAGAAGAGGCGTACTAAGCTGTCGTCTGAATATTCTCTCAATCCTCTCTATTTGTTCTTGTAGTTTCTTCTGCTGGTCACTGGTCTGCACAGCTCCAATTTGAGGCTGCAGATATTAACAAATAATAAGTCTCTAAATATGCAGTGTAAAAACTCCATCTACACTATGATACCATGCTAGTTTGGAGGTCCTGGGTTCGATTCCAACCTGAATCACTTGTATATTTGGGTACGTACTGAGTATTCGGTATGAAAATACATCAGGTAGGGCTAGGGCAAAATACACTCCTATCCATTTACAATTTTATCAACATTTGTGTGAAAAAATGTTGTTGTTTGTCCACATAGGAACACTTATTTTCATTATATACTTTCTTTGAAAAAGAGAGTATATATGTATATACAACTCAAAGCGCTGAAAGCTGTCTCTTATACACATCTAGATGTGTATAAGAGACCGGTATGACAGTGTGATTCAAGGAAAATGTTTTACTTGCCAATATGAAGTTTAAAATACAAACCTGCAAACTTTGCAGAATGGCATTTTCAAAAACGCGGTAAGAATCCCATATTAGTGAACCGCGAGTAACGTGTAGCCCAGCAACACGGACTGCACTTTCATATGTATCCCGTGCTTTAGCAAGTCCCACATCTGTTCCAATGCCACCAATGGTAAACTGGCAGTACTCAAGCCAAAGATCAACAGCTACCAAATAATAAAGAAATCATGAAGCAATTAACAGAAAATAGAAAAAGGATGGAAGTACATTCCAAACACAGAAAAACAATCAATAACAATGCAACATATACAGTGACGTAACTGAAAGACTTGAGGTGCCTGGCTTAGTCTTCTTCAGGTTCTCCTGCCCCAGGGCTCAGGGAGTTGTGTAAGGTGCCAGTGAGGTACAGGACAAATCCCACACATGCACTGGCATTTTTGACCACATTAAATCACATTAAATAATAAATAATAAATTAAATAATAGCGCATTTTCAGATCTACATTTGTTCAATGCGGTTTAGATAAAAAGATATACAATACACTTTTAAAATATGCAACATTATACAATAAAATTAATTTCAAATATTTATTATATATAAAATATATATTATATATAAAAATATAAGTATTATTAATTTACATCTTTAAAATTAATTGAAAAATTCACTAACAACAAAATATGTATTATTAATATAATTAATAAAACATAAAAAAAATATTCTTACAAAGGTAGTCAGATACAGCTCTATCCAGCACCTCAAGTACCATCTGTTTGTCATCTTCTGAAGAAGCTAGCTTGACCTCATCTTGTACCCATTCCAGCCACAAATCTACAAATTAAAATTTAACATTTTAATAAATTATTTAACAAATAGCTAAAAGGATACTGATTACTGTAGAGCCCCTTATTTTTTGCGATTTTACAATTTGAAATATTTTGCAGCCTTTTATTTTCAAGATTCTACAATTTCCAGTCATTTTTTAAACATGATGATGCAGATAACTACAGTTATGTTTTTTAGTCTATATTTCTGCTAGAGCTCCCAATTTTGGAGGGTTTCGCCAGATTTTTCAATTAATTTCCTACGGTACCCTTCAAATGTTTAGGCTAGCTACCATATGCCAAGGCAAGCCTAGGTAGGCTTACTGCTCCAGGGATATCATTGGTTTTACAGTTATAATAATTGCTTAAAAATAATTTGGAATTTTCAAAATGTTCAAAATATTTCAGTACACTACCTTCGGACAGTGGAAATATCTTGGCCATAGCGTTCCTTGCATCTCTCAGTTTTTCTAACTCACCAGTCTCTTTCATCAATTCGATTAGCTTTACATGATTGTCATATACATATGGACTTTCTGCAATCTGAAATATACAACATTGCAACACAATTACAATAGGTGCAGTTCTCAACAACTTGGGAAACTATACCAAAACTTTCCAACTAATCCACTAAATATAACAAATGTGGCTCCTAGAGTGGGTTAATTACGTACAATTACACTATTAAAATACAGGAAAATAATAATAATAATAATAATAATAATAATAATAATAATAATAATAATAAGAATACTTTTATAAAGCGACTAATGCAAAAAATAGACTCAAAGCGCTGAAAGATGCCAGTTGAAGTTAGGTATATCGTATAAAGAGGTAATTCTTTTAATAGTGACTTTTTAAAACAGTCAATACCTCAAAAACTCAAATAAAATTTTTAATAGCTATCTAAAAGCAAAAATGATTAGTTTCTGACAAGAAACAGATCGGAAAAAAGTAGTTTTCACCAATTTATATGACACTTTACTACAAAAATCTATTGCTAACTAGCCAATTTAAGGATGGAAATAAATACAGGATTAAGTCATCATTTAACTGTCCGAAAATTGACAGGGAATTTCTTTTTTCACTTTCAAATTTTTTTACTTTAATTTAATTACAGTACTTACTTAATATACTTTACAAATTAAACAATTGAAATGTAAAATTAAAAATATTTAATTTTGTTACCTCATGGCATGACTGGTAGTTAGTAGCCTAGTAGCTGACCTGAAATGTACTGTGAACCCATATACTCTTACCACCACCAGTGCTGTTTCTGAGTTTGAAATCAACAGTGGTATTTTGCCAACCACCCAAGAAAATTAGCTCAAACTTGCGTGGTAAATTGCTTGGAAAATATGTTCGAAAATCTTAACTTACTGCATAATACCTTGGTTTTATATATTAAGTAGAAACACTGTACTGTGGGTCATAGCCTAATTTTTGGCAATGCCAAATGCACACAAATCCTGGTGTAATATTTGACCCTAATCTTAATATGACATCCCATGTTGATTCTATCTGCCGTACTGTTAATTTTTATTTGAGGGGATTATCAAAAATTCGCAAATTTCTTGATAATAAAACTTGTACTGAAGCCACAAGGTCATTGGTTTTATCACGATTGGATTACTGTAATTCACTATTAGTTGGGATTTCTGCAAAAGAACATGTCACGTTTACAGAGGCTTCAGAACCTTGTGGCCAGACTAATTTTTAAAGTTAATAGGTCCATTTGTGCAATACCTCTACTAAATGAATTACACTGGCTACCTGTAAAGAGCAGAATTGTATTTAAGGTTTTATTACATGTTTTTAATTGTGTGAATAATCAAGCACCTGGTTATCTGAAAGATATTAACATCTATAAATGTGGTAAAAGTGGTCTTAGGTCTGAAGTGATCGCACTAGGTTAAAGAACCGTCTTGTAAGACGGGTGTCTGGCGAAAATGCTTTTTCTAAATTTGGGCCTAGTTTTTAGAATGATCTTCCAAAGAAATTAGAGAATCAAACTCTTTGGAAGCATTTAAAAAAGTTCTTAAAACTCACTTGTTTGTAAGAAGATTGTAAAGCGCTTCTTTGATCTTTTTTTTTTGGAAAGGCGCTATAGAAATTCTTTATATTATTATTAAAAATCGGCCCGTATTTTCCAAAATGCGATGACAGATTTCTATGTCTAGGCCTAATTTTAGCGCAAAAGATACATTCCCTGTGCAGGCCTTTACAGTCTGACTCCTAGTTGCTAGTCTGCAGACTAAAAAAAAACTTATCAGTAATCAGACAGGTCGACAAGTGAATTTCCCAACAAGTCACTACCTTTTTGAAACCCTATTCCCGGCAAAATTTCAGTTCTTAGAAAAATCTGATTTTTATATGTTAAAGATTTATAAACATAATACGGAATTGCTGGTTTAACTGAATTTAGACATTCCTAAACATGAAAAAAAATGTAAAATAAGTCTGAAATTTGATTTTTGTGTTCCACACAAAAAATAACGCAGATGACTTTTTTTTGTTTGATTTTAAGATACGTCTGCGAAGAAATATAGTACTGTAGGCGCCAGAAACATTAGCCTAGCAACACTGCTAGGCTTAGGCCTTACCTCAATTTAGGTTCTGTTACGGCTGACATGATATTCTCCGTTGCTAGTATTGACACTCGTGAAATATAATGTTTCATTGGAATTATTTCAAATTTGTTAAAAAAATGATTCTGACCAATATTTTGATAATTAAACAAAAACATCTCAGGCCTACTCGATAGAGAGCAGTGTGCAAGATGCGAAGTTCAAAAACTAATCTCATTAGAGAGGCCACACTTTATCGCTCATGATCGTATCAGCGATTATAGTTCAGTAAAACAGATTAATTAATTTTTTTTAAAATTAATTGTGGGATGAATTAAAATATCATGAGATCTCCAACGCACGACTGTATACTAGTATACACAAAAGTATAAGTATAAAGTATACACAGCAGATGCGATCTAGAACCTCTGAATTTGCCTAGTAACGAAGAAGTCATCGAGAAAATGGTAGGCTAATCTCCTATATGAGATATAGTCTCTAATAATAATTCTCTTTTTTTTATCCTTTTGCTTAAAACTAAAATTTATGCCAATATTTTTCAATTCAATTGTTTATAATATTAATTAATAGAGTAGGTCTAGGCCTAATGCATGTGCTTTTTTTCTAAAAAAAAAAAAATCTTTTTTTTTTTAGTGTAGACCTAGGCCTAGGCCTAGGTAGGCCTAGTTTTGCCAGGAATGGGGCTTCAACTAAGCCCAGGCCCAGCCAGGAGGGCGGTAGGACGAATTATATACCTCGTTGCTTCACTTATGCTTGGCCTACCCTACACAGCCGGGCTGCTACACTAGACTAGGTCTAAGCCTAGGCCTAGCAGGAAAAAGCCTACAACGTTACGTACTGACACTGTCTGTAGGCAGAGGGATAAAATCCTACGCTACCTAGCCTAGGCCTAGCCCTAGCCTAGCTAGGGCCTAGCCCCAGGCCACAGGCTAACCTTCTCAGCCAATTCTTTCTCTTGTACTAAATTGTCTTCGTCATCTGAAGATTCAGAATCTGACGCTCCTACGTTTGTTTTTCCCTCTAATTCCATAGTTTCTTCCATGACTTAGCTGACTTTTTACATTCGCGGCAACAATTTCGAATCAAACACGACGTACGATGCAGCCATATTTCAGATTTCAATCACATAAAACGCTGAGGTCGCTCTTTACATTCTTATTATTATTATTATTATTATAGCGCAATAAAAACCGTTTGTAATTTTCAGCATTTCAGGGTTGCCATTGAACCTTTTTGACGGCCAGATCCCAAAAAATCTGGCCGTATAAAAATTTGCCCTTCCGTAACGTTTGAAAAGTCACGGCCAAACTATATTTGGCCGAATTTGTGAAAAGTTTATATATTTTTTTTCAATATAGGCCTAATAAGGCCTATAACGTAGATGTTTTGGATATGTTGTATTTGTTAGCTTAAATTAAATATTTGATTCTAATTAGGCCTATGTACCTTTGTTTGTGCTTTAGCCGATTTGACGTATTTTTTATTTAAAAGATAACAGTTACATTTAATAATTTCATAGTTACCAACCTAAGAGATTTGAAATGCGTGACGGGCGAGTGCCGCTAGGGCCCCCTAGACCCCCGGTGGGGTAAAACCCTGCCCTTTATTCACATAATCAACAGTTGTGGCAATTAACTCGCAAGACCGCCCGCGCCTCATAGATAGTGCGGGTTGGTTGGGTTTTGGTAGAGAAAGAGAAATTTTGTCGGTGAATTTATTCTTGATGCGATAACGAAGCGGCTCTCTAATGACTCAAGTCACAGTGCTGCATGACCATTTTTATATCGTTAATAAAACAAATTTCTTCTAATTTTAAATACATTTTCCACTGAATTCGTGATAATTCGTTATCACGCATAGAGACTTGTGCATGCTAAATGCGTGACAAATTTATGATCACCATGTATTTCTGCAAAATGCGCGTTTCATCCAAAATCACTTTGAAATGCGGGACCGTCCCGCACGATGCGAGATGGTTGGTAACTACCGGTAGGGCCTATGTCTTAGTACGGAAGTAACCAAAAATCAAAACTACCTACCTTAATTTTTAGAAATCATACACAGGTACTTTAAATAATTATCTAAAACCGCGGCCAACTACAATATAAAAATGTTCAGAGTTTGTAATTCAAATTCAAATAACACGTTTTATTATTCGTGCAGCGAAATCAAATAGGCCTATTACATAGGCCTATGTCGTTTTAAACGACCCATTATATTATTAGCATGGTAACATCAATGTGTTTTTTTCAAAATCAGACAGCGACCGCAATCCTATATCTCAGAAGTTTTGTAGACGTTTATCTTTGGTTGATGACCTCCAGAATTGAAATTTTCGAGTCGAGTCAGTCGAGGCAGCCCGAGTGGAGTTTCATGCAAATGTTTCGTACGTATTTTTTCGGAGATATTACCATTCTCGATAATCTATAAAGCACCAACATAACAACGTCACGTTAGATCGATCGGTGGGGACGCCGTGGTGACGCCGGCAGGGTCAATTTTCGTCGGAAGGTATCAAGATGATAAACAGTTTCATTGGACTAAATTCTTGCTTATGTTAACCACATGCTTACCTAAGTTTATACTGACACTGGTTTCAAATGAAATAACTGTCAACTTTTGTTTGTATCAATGTTTTAATAAGTACATACAACTATGTCACAAATACGTGTGCAAAAAAGCACAGGGACACCACGCCGTTTCTGTATTTTTCTTGAAATCTGTATGCCTGATCACCATCATCATACACAGTATAATAGATTCAAGTAAGATGTTTTAAATGATATAAAAATGTATGCAAACATGCCTTTGGAATGTTTTTTTTTTTCAAGTTTTATTTACCTTAACGTCGACTCCGTCTTAGAAAGCACCAGAATTAATCACACAACAGTATCCTTTTATAAACCTCTAATTCCAAAAACAATCAGTAAATCATGTGCAATAAATAAAAATACATACATAATGAACTGATTAACAATTAAACATATTTTGCATAAATGAGGTCCCATGGAAACTTGTAATTTTTTTGATTATTTAAGAAAGAATAATGCCGGGCACTCACTGCGTCGTTCGACAAATCCAAATCCGCTCCTTGTGAACGATAGGTGACGCAACGCCGTCTGCTGATTGTCGGTAGCAATCTGAACGGATCGTTGTTAAAAACGATCCGTTGAGCGCGTCGTGTGGCGTTCTTCATAGCATCGCATCGGCCGACGGACGACCGTTGCGCGCAGTAAGTGCCCAGCTTAACGCATATAGGCCCACACACTATGTGCAGTGTGGCATGCACACAGTGAAACAAGTTAGCATGGAAACGAAACATACATCAAAAAAAATAATTAGGTTACTAGTCAAATTAAAAACTTGGGTCTTTTTCACATC